TGCTGGGATTTTTTCTGCATGTCTTCTCCTACAGGAGGAGAAATTCAAACAACTTACGTCAAACATTGGAAGATTTGGTATATGAGTACACATAGAAAAAAGGAGAATAAAGGCAAATTGCATGGAATTTAAGAAAGAATAAACAACTGGATTTTATCATTATCTTGCTTTTATACATTAGAACTTCATAGATGCCTATTCTAACCAGGACCATAAATATTCCTACCAATTGCCAGCTATAGATAGATTAGGATGATAGATGGATGAATGGATAGATATATAGACATGCAAAGATACATAATAGATTATAATAGGTAGATATAATATATATATATATAATAGGTAGATATAATATATATATATAGGTAGATATAATATATATATATATATATATAATGATAGTAGATGTGTAAATAGAAAGATGAAAGAACAAATGAGAGAGAAAGCATTGGTTTAAGATCTACAAAAGAAGAAATCTGACCAATAGTCAATGACTGTCATCTCTGCAGGGAGCAAATTGACTGCCTTTGAGTCCTGTGTGCTCTCCTAGCCTGGTGTCTGTAGCCATAGGGGCAGATGAATACCATACAACTACAGTACATCTACATCCATCTATGCAACTATGTAGGTCTGCTTCCTTAGCTGGGCTGTAAGGCCTGGGAAAGAGCTGTGGGGTGACAAACACCGTAATGGGACCATCCTGGCCATCCCTTCAGCCACATTTGTCATTCCAAATCTTATTTCACCTATCTCATATATTCAGTGCTTACACTAAGTCATAAACACATTTAGGTCAAAGGTGGCTGTGTCTTCCCTCTACTCCTATCGCACCCTCTTCACCTCTTCCCAACCACAACTCAGAACTAAAAGTACAGTACAGAGGCCTTACTGACATCTAATAAGCATTGGCTAATGAATGAAAAACACTCATGACCACCTGCTCCCTGGGTCTTAAGGGAAAAGATGGGGCTTGAGATGAATATGTGGTCATCCCCTTTCCTATTAATTTCCCAAGCTCATCTGTGGGTTATGCTTCTGCTCCACTGGGGTAACACAAACATGACAGATGGTACTCTCTGGCCAAGAAGGTCTTTTTGCAACACAGTAAAGGCTATATTTTTTTCTATAAAACTTTTATAAATCATTCTTACACTTTTTGGGTAGGAATTTTGTGACACAAGAGAGATAAATGCTATTTTACACAAACAAACAACTGAAATTTATGGATGGTAAGAATACAGATTCATATATATATCAGTGAACAATAAAAAAGATTTCATGTGGACACTCTTTTGTAAATATAGAACATTAGCCAACAGAAGAATTTGGCTTTCTACAATGTAAAGACTTTTATCTTTAATAAAATTTAATAGCCAGTAAATCAAAGGATTCAAAACTATACATATCAAAATCACTTTAATAGTTTTAAATTTAACTGCTAAAATAATCTAAGGAAGGTAGTAAAAGGACTAAATCAGSACTATAGATATGTCAACAAGTAGGTAGGTTAAAAGAAAGCTATTTAGATGAATAAAGAGATAACCAGAGGGAAATGTAGAATTAGGATGTCATTCAACCTACATTAGAAATAAAATAAACGGGTAGGTATAGACAAGATCAAGAATGTGAAGCTTCAAACACTAGAAATGTGATGTCAGTCTTTTACATTCTAGTCATGTGGAAATCTCATATTTTCATGTAGCAAAGAAAGAATTATAACCTTACTTTTTGATTTTTTTGCAAACTATGAAACTACTGATATATCAAATGAAGGGCAAAAGGCCACCTATAATCATCTATAGGCCATAACTATACTTAGATCACAATTGTGACCTTTTTTATTTAACATACCACCAAGATCATTCAATAAAATTACAAATTCTTCAATAGTATTCGAAAGGCCAATAGTAAAATCAAAGATGTTTTCAAATTAAAATGAATCCTGGATCATTCAGTCTAACATGTGTAATAATGCTGTAAAAATCTCTTTAGACCTTTTCTTGACTACTTCAGGGACTCAGATCAAAATCTCCAAATCATCATTGTGCYAGGAAATCTTAGTTGTTGAATTCTGAGAATTATGAGAATTCCTTTCCTATCATGAATTTCACCCACCTCCCTTTTTTCTCTCTAGAAGAACTCAAGGCTGAGAATACATTTCAAGTTCTTCCTATCCTTTGGCACCATAATTATGACTAAATCAGATGACTTTCTCACCAAAAAAAATTATTTATCTATAAAATTAACCTAATAATAGTTATCCTATAGTCCTCATGTGGTCATTTAAAGATTCAGCTATGAAAATATTGATGACAACACATTGGAAGCATTAAATGAATGGTAAACATATTTTCTTTTTCACATGTAATACTTGAAAATTTCTTTTCCACATGTAATACTTCAAAATCTTCACCCTGAGACCTTTCTCCAAGAAAAGCTGCCCAGTTCTCTCCAGCATCTCTTATCAAGTATAGTATCCAGACTCACTCTTTTGTCAACTATCCTGTATACATGCCAACTTGTGAATGTCTCTTGTAAAATGTGCCACTTGGGAGTAAACCAGGAGATATTGATGTGGCTGAATGAATGGAAAATAAAATGGGATTGTTTTTGCCATGAATCTGCATGGCAGTCCACAATTATATGTAAAGAAATGTAAGAGTTTTTGTTATAATCAATGTTTATGTCATCAACAATGAGCTTATGGAGCTATCACATTTGAGAAATGTYTTTGAAATAACTTTTAAAGTAGGAAATGATCAAAAGAATATAGAAGAATCTATAGTGATGATTTATTTTCCCCTAACCACACAACTGATTGGGTATAAGAAGTGCTCCTTAAATCATCCAGTTTTGCTCTTCATTAACTAGAAAAAAAGAAAGCTTAAATTATTACCTAAAATGAAGTTACAGATTTATCTGTGACTTTGTTATTCACGATTTTATACTGTCTTTCCAGTGATATGGAAAGCTATAATGAGCCCTGAAAATAACCAGCAGAAAATATAATGTTCTGCTTCATTTTTTAAAAAGTAGTCACTGTCTTTTTTTCCCCTAGAAAAGAAGTTACAAGGCAAATTATTGGTAACTTAGCTGAAAAAATCATGACTTACCTGAAAATATCAGTTCTGAGATCATGTGAAAAATGAGTATCAGATTAGAGATGCTTTCATGAATTGTTAGCTCTTCTGTGCAAAGGCAGGACTCAGAATCTGCTGCATTAGCCCTTCGCTTTCCTTTGATTTGAATAGTTTGTATGAACAAATAATCTTGAAAATACAAGGAGGGCAGCCATCCAATCCCCCAGCCTATTTGTTGTCTACATTCAGCAAGTCGCTTTATTATTCTCTTATTTTGTGTATCTACCTATAACATCTGGAAAATCTTACCTGTGGATCTCCCTTTCTAGGACTCTTCAGCTCTTTAGGAAAAGTGCACTGTACACATTCAAAGATTTTTAATGGTACTATTAATTTTAAAACTGTCTACCTATAGAATGGACTGGCATTAGTAAAGCAATAAGGATAAGCCAAGTGATGTTCAACTGTGCTTAGCAGGAACCAATAGCCAAATATGGTTTTGTTTGTATTTCTTCTGTGAATTTCAACTGATTTCAGGTTGTCCTCTCTGAAAATAAGACTGCATTTCAGAATTCCTGGAACCTACCCAAGTAAGAAAAGAAAGCAGGTAATCYGATGATAATAAATTTCAAAAACAAATTATCAGTTCCCATGATTCTGTAAGGAAATATGGTATGATYTGTCTGGAACCAAATTATCAAATAAAAAATAGAATATGAAAGAAATAATGCTGGAAAAAAATTAAAGTAAAAAATCAAAACAGAGCCCAGTGATTTCGGAAGCAATGGCTTCTTGTCAAGAATAACTGTCATTAAAATTTCCATAAGCACCAGTGAAATTGATTTTGGGGGAAAGGCTAAGGAAAGGTCTGTTTTCTAAAACACAGTGAAGCTTTATTTGGAATTTTCCCAGCCAAGTATGTAAGATCTCTTTTTCTTGGACCCTTACACACTGAGGAGCCAAGAGGTTTATCTCTACTGACATATACAGATGACAAATTTTCATCCAGGAGCCTCTATCAGCAGAGTCTGGACAGTATTCTTTGGCTACTGAATCATAGCAAGAGTCTCAGACCTGAGGTGCGGTGGAGAGGACCAAAAAAAAAAAAAAATAGTAAGAGKAAATAAGCAGGCATCACCATATTCTGATATAATACACCAAACCCATGGAACACAAGAATTGGTCTGGCTTCATTGTTCCATGTTTTCTGGATGTTCAAGAGTCTGATTTGCATTAGAAACCTCTGCATTCAATAAACAAAAATAAGGATAATAATGACCAAAGCGCTATTTGGAACAGGAAACAAACTCAAGCAATGAATGTTTTGCACCTAATTCATTCAAGATTTTATTAGTCAAACTCTCACTTGGGTTATTAGGCTCAGCTTGCTTTTAATTTCACTGACCTCAGTTATTCAAAACAAAAAGGGATCGAGAGAGAGAGAGAGAGAGAGAGAGAGAGAGAGAGAGAGAGAGAGAGAGAGAGAGAGAAAGAAATATGAATGTGGGTGTACTCACACACACAAGCATTCTACATTCTTCACATTGCAGACCCATCTACAAAAGGAGGAAGAAGATCTGAAGGGAATGAGTGGTTTCTGCGGGTTCAGGGGATAGAGGATTTCTCTACATAAACAAGAAGGTTTGGATTGGAAGTCTGCTAAAAAAAATGTTAGAGCTGACCACAAGGTTGTAAATCCACAGACTGGAGGGAGGAAACGAGAAACATTGCAAGTAACTGAAGTGTGTGTGGCTGCAATGTTTGTGGGTTAGATGAGAAACAAGCGCTGAGTGAAACAGAGAAGTGGGGGGGKGGGTGGTGGCTGGTGTGATTTGTTTGGTGTTCAGAGCCAATAGAAATCCCAGACTGTGCTAATATCCCCACGCAGCGCCGAGCGCAGTCAGAGCTCAGTCTCCGGGCTCCGTCGCATCTGCAGGCGCAGCAGCCGAGCAGTGGCGCGGGCTCCGGCTCTCCTCCGCTCAGCCGGCGCTTTGCTTATGGGCTTCTGCTGGAGCCCGGCTGCGGTAGAGCTGAAAGCGGCGGCGGGAGATCAAACTTAAACCCCTCTGTGGACTTAACTCAGAGAAAGGAGAGGGAGAGAAAGAGAGAGAAGGGACCGAGGAGGAGGCTGCCTTCACGTCATTGCAGGTACGCAGCTTGTCACGACTAATCTACACACGGTTTCTGATTTCTACCTTTACAAGGCACTTGTAATAGATTGACGTTGTTCCTTGGCTGGTCAGAATAGACAGCCCTGAGTGATTGTCTCTCCTGATTCACCCTAGATAATTAAAGCTGCCAGCGTGTGTTTGGGGACCACAAGGTTTATGCACCTATTGGATTATGCGTAGGTGTAAATCAAGGACCTTTAAACTTGGCTGGGATCTCCTTCTTTTAAATAACATCAATACCTGCATGTTGCCACACAACCCRCAAGAATCTCGGGGTGGGGGGAGGGGACCTCCGTTACAGTGGTGACCTATGGCAAGTCAAACATCTAATTGTCAGAAAGCCGTCTTTAARCATTTCCCACCTAGAATCAGGGTAATAATACTTTCCCTGTAAGAGCAGGAACCCCAGTGGACTTGGGCACGACTCTGATTTTTAAAGCATATATGGCCAAGGTGGACTAGGCTCATGAATGAAATATCACTATATCATTATGCTACTATTGAAGGAAGACAAGGAAGAAGGAACATCCATAGGTTTAAATGGCCAGTAATTCTTCCTGGGTAYTTGCTTTATTCTTACCTTATGAGTTAACAACACATTTATATTCTGCATCCCCAGACAAGATGAGTTCCAAGCTCTTCCATATTAGTATGTTAAAAAGTTATGAATTGGAGAACCATGCAGTAAATATGATACTTGTAAGGAAATGTCAAGTGTTTTTTTTTTTGTTTGTTTGTTTGATTGATCTTATTCAATCCCACACTGGTAGGCTTCTGGCTGCTTCTTTCTTTCCTTTATTTTTGAACTACAAGTTTTGTAAAAATAAATAAATAAATAAATAAAAATGATGATAATCTATTTTCCTGGAATTTCATCACACTTGATTCAGAATTTTAAAGATGGTTATGCAACTTTTTTCCCCTGTTGATTACTTGTGATTAAATTAACATTGCTTAATGAGTTCAGTCTTTCCCCAGAAAAGCCAGATGAAACTGCATAAAGTTAAAAAACTGTCTTGCTCTGAATAGTGTTCATGTACTGGTAATGAACTGCTCAGAATCCCTATAAAAAGTGCTTTTTCTTCATTGGAGACTATACACAGATAGGGATTCCAGTCAACAAGAGAATGTCACTGCAGCAAGTGTAGGAGCAATCAAATACGGTATCATACATCAAAATAGAACTCTTCTCAGTGAGTTCTTAGTGCATCATATCCATGCCATTCATTGATAATTCACAATCTACTCACCATTCAGTGGTACCTGATTTTCAGAATGATTATTATCCCAAGTTGTGCCTGACCAAGTACAATAAGGAAGTCGTAAGAACTGTATTTGTTTTACATGTTACAACACAGAATTTAATAATCTGTTTTTTATCAGATGAATGTGTTCTTCTGTCATTAAGGGAAATACATGCTTGGCTATACCAGGTAGTCGTGAAAGCTTATTTTTTGAAATCATGTTAAAGAATATATTTGGTAAGTTAATATTATATTTAAGAGATGGCATTTCAACTTTATAGGTGAATATTTTACTCTTTTTACATCACAAAGGAAACTCCTGATTGTAAAGTACTTACCTGTTTAAATAAAAGCAACAATTGATCCAACTAAATTCTATTTGTAGTCCCAAGAGTAGACTTGCATCATGAGAATTTGCCAGTCTTCTATAAATGTAATATCTAAAGTAAGTTAAAACACAATTCTCTCTTATCATTCAAACTCTAAAGCAATGTTGGGCATGTTAGTATTGACTGACTGAATGTAAAACCAAATATATTACTTTGTGTAAACACTGATGACTTTTCAAAGATAAATACAAACAATRCTTTGAATATTCGTCATTTCATGTTATCATTCTTCATTGAGAGAGGTAATCTCATGTTCATTCTCTACAAATTTTAGTATAGGAAGCCAGAGTTTTAGATACCCATAAGTTTGGTAAAGTTTAAAATAAGTACTTGTTTTAAATCTCTCTAAAGTAAATACCTCTTCCCTAACCCTCTTCTAATGCAAAGGAATGGGTTTAGAGCCTGAGTCTGGGCCCTGAGTTCTTAAGGATATGGAGAAGCCTGGCCTGATGGGTCAAGGATAAACACTGGGAGTCTGCAGAAGCCTGACAGGCACAGGACAGATGAGTCCAGCCACATTTGTACTCCAGTGTATGAAAGCAATTCTGTTGAGTTGTAGGTATGACCTCAGTATCAGATTCTTTAAGTAGTTAGGAGAATTCTAATGAATTATTGCAACTAAGGAAAATGTCCCCAATATAGGGCTTAGTACCGGTCCCACAAAGGGCAAACATATGAGACAAATTGTTTAAAGGGAAAGATGTGCAATTATAAATTAGACCTATGGTATCATCTGCTGGTTTTTGTTTGTTGTTTGTTTTATTGTTTTAGTTTGATTAGCTGCTTCTCTTCCTGTGAGTTAGTTTCTTTGTCTCTGTGAATTGGATATGTTGACCTAGTAATGTGTGGTTAATTTTAATCATGTCAGGCTAAAATATAGTCCTCAGACTTACGTAAAAACTGACCCACAACTTCAGCCTGTTTCCCATCACCACCACCTTTAGTTTAGTAGGGAGGGTGTCTTTGACCATCAACAGGATGCAGCCCTTGGTTAGAGAACTGATTTGTAGAGTCCCAGAGGCATGTGAGAGCTAAGAGGATGGGAAATAGAGGGTTGAATCAATAAGGATATGAAGCGAGATATAATGATGGGCATCCTTAAATATAAATCCAGGAGCCAAAGGAATAGTGAGTTTATTTTCTCACTATTAGCTTCACGTGTAAATTATTGATGAGATGTTCTGAATATTTGAAACAAACTCCTCTGTGTTCACAGCCACCTAACACCCAGGTGTGGGATCATAATAAACACATCTGATATGCGGTAACACTCCTGTATATAAGGCCAGGAGGGGGCAGTATGCAAACTCTAAAGTAATAATGCCTCCTCTGGTCCATGAGGAGACTCCAAATGGCTAAAGTATCTCCAACTTCCTATACCCTCCTTCCTTTGGAGAGCTGAGTCTACAGTCTTAATAAGGGATAACACCATCCAGGGGAGTTGTTTCTAGTTTTACTTCTAGAATTGGTACTGCCTGGCAAAATAAGGAAAGCAAAAAACCTATTTAATAATGAACTCAATTTCCCTTTCTTTTAATTAGTTCACTCTGGAACTGTATCCAAGCAGTCCTTACTCAGTCAAGAGGGAAAGGGAAACCGAATACAAAAAAAAAAAAAAAAAAGAGGAAAAGAAAGCACAAGATTTCTTGAATTGGTTCTCCAGGGGAAATGTTTGTGCACTACTTTATCATTAGACCCAGCATTTATTTTAAACATGTCTCAAACGCAAGTTCAGGAGCGCAGAGATGCATTTTTTATACAAGCAATCAGTAGTACCTTCAAAATCCTAGCAAATTCGATTCTGAAAGAGGAAGACTTCTCTTAGTGGTATCTAGAGTCCAAGACATGTGCTAAAAAAATAAAATGCATCTACTTATTAGAAACTAAGAAATGTGTAAAAATAGTTCATCCTAAATCTAATCCAGCTAGAAGTTTTCAAAGTAGGGGGAATTATTTATTCTTAAAGCAGGCATCTTGGGACTGGCAGTGATGGCTTCTGAAAGGTTCCTTGTCATTTAGCTAAGTGAGATGTTAGCTCCAGGGGCACCCTTGTCTGCTGTCTTTGGTTCAACTGTGACATATTCACTATTAAAAGTGAGGACCTCCGAAAAAAGCGCAGAGAGGAGCTTTTGAAACTGCATGTGAGAGGCCCAGAACAACAGCACTCTGGGTAAGAAAGCTCCTACTCCTGAGAGATGAGAAGGCGAAAGTATTGGGCTGGCCATGAATGTGCTGGAGAGAGAGAGGCCAGGGTGTTTTTACCAGGCAAAAGTGATTCCAAGGTTTATGGGTCGTGGATTCCAGAAGGCTTAGTTTCCTTACCAAGAAATCAGCAGCCTGTATGCATGAATGAGGCCTTGAAAGCTCTGATTTCTACTCTTCTCTGGTGACACTTTATTCTGCTGGGAGGTATGGTGCCCTTGAATTGAAGCAGAGAGTTTTTTCAAGGACAAAGCCAAGATTCCTTGGTGTCTGGGAGGAAAGGGAGGTAGGTCACTGTGTCTCTCCCATTTTCAACCAGATTAGCCACCTCTGCACTCCCATTTACTATCTGGAACTACACAGCATTCCTTCATGGGAAAGCTTGGGTGAATGTGAGAGATCCATCCAGGTTCACCATGCAACTACAACCAATGCTGGAATAGTAGATATTAGCAAATAAGAGAGGGAGAAATACCTCCTAGAGACTGAGGGTTATGGGGCAACTGCAAGATTTATCACTTGAAGCCTAAGACCCCAAGTCTCCAGCTGCTGTTTTTCACTTTATTCTRGTATTTTCCTACTATTTTGAGATAGAGAAATTTTTTTAAAAAAAAAAATTTAAAAATTTTTTAAAAATCACTTTTCAGTAAGGTAAAATCTTGCACTTGAAAGGAAAATCCCTTGAAAGACATGTAACTGATTGAGAAATAAAACAGGGTTAAGTTGGATCATAGTATTGTGGCAGATACAATGACCCTCATAAGAAGACACACTCAAGGGCATGTTTCACTAAGAAGCCATTTCTGAATTATGCTTGTGAGGGAAGTAGAAACAAAGGAAATACACAGCTTGTGGAAAAGTTCTTTTGAAGGGGAGTTTTTGAGGACATGAAGGCAAGCACACAAATATTCTCAGACATGACTTTCATGGTATGGATAGAAGCAGTTCCAAGGTAAAATTCTCCTCTCCTATAATTTATTTAAACAGTGAAAGAAGGGGAAGAAAGAGAACTCACTGAGCAGGGGAGCACTTGACTCGCTCATGTGAAATGCTAAGTTGACTTTGTCTAATACAAACATTGTCTGCATTAAAAATATTATTCAACCTGGCTGTACAGCTGTGCTCCAAGGGCTGAGAGGAAG